GGGAGCTGGACCAGCCCCACCTCCCCACTCTTCCCTGCCAACTGGTGCTTGCCTGGAGGAGTCCAAAATTAGTCCAAGCAGATAAGAGATGGACAACATGGCTCGTCTGAGTCCCGGGGTCCTTTGCTCAGAGGAGATCTTTCTATGCCCACCCACATCTTCCTCTAACCTGGCAAAGTACCTGAATTACTGAGCTGATTTGCCAAGAGAGATTTAGGCTGGAAACCTCTCTAGAAAGATGTCTCTCATTAGGAGCAGGGAGCTGGCTGGGGCACAGAGCTGGGAGAGGAGTGTTACTCATTCCTGCCTCACACTGGGTCCTTCAGACACTCTCCTCTCTGCAAGATGCACTGTTCTGTGACTGCTGGCAGAAATTAATGAGCAGAGCTGGTTGAAAAACTTTCCATCAAAACAGTGCTTCTGCTTTGCCAGAAGATAGTTGAAAAATTAAGTGGAAAAATTAGAGAAGAGAGCCTGGGTTTTGGCTGACATAGTTGGTCCAAAAATCCCAAACTTGGGATTTTTTAGCCAAAAATGGAAGCATTTGGGGAAGGCAGGGGAGGAAAGGGAGGTGCCTGGCAAGACTTAGTGATACCCTGAAAAACACCTAGAAAAATTTTAACAAATATGAGGGTGTTTTCGTCAATTTTATCTTTTTTTATCCTTCGTAGTGAAGGATACTTCTGCTTTTAGAACCATTCTATGGGGGGCTGAAAACAAGTAAATAAGCTTTTTCTTTCTTACACATATGGCTATAGATCCCCCACATCTTGTGGCATAAGCACAGGCAGCAACTCCTCTGGAGAGAAACACCAGAAAACCCAGATCTTTGCTAGGAGCTGCCCAAGAGCTGATTACCCCCAAACTGTAACTCTCAGAAAGGGACACACACAGAGCTGGTGCTGCTGTGAGTTTGTACAGCTGATGGGAAGCCTCGATAACCTCTCAGTTGCCTTGCACACAAATAAACTGAGCCATGGGGACAGCCAGGGAACAGGGCTTGTGATAGAAGGTACTGTGCACACAGCTGCTGCAAAAACACCCGTGCTGAACACTCAGCCAGCCACAGGCTGAGAGTTGTTGTTGCAGGGAGAATGGCACATGAATACCTGGGAACCCACAGAAAGCTCTTTTCCATTTTGCTTACACAATAATGTGGTTTTTCTTCTTCCCCTTTAAAATTGCTTCTTCAGCAAAACATGGTTAAGAAAAAAAGAAAGCAAACAAAACCAAGAAAGAGATGGAATCTTCCTTACCCTCTGGGAAATGTGGCTGACAGCATTTCCTGGGCTCAGTGTCACTGTCCCCTCCTCAAGGCACTACAGTGATGTGATGGGGGGAAGCCACAAGCCAGAGCAGCCGGCAGCTCCAGGGTGATGGGACCTGAAGAGAGCAGAATTCCAGTATTCCAGCAGGGCCCTTCTTCCTCAACACAAACCTGGGCATGGAACAGAGCTGACAGTGCTGAAGCCAGGGCAGCACAGGTGGCATCAGCTCTGTGAGAAAAACCAAATGTTGTTAGTGAGCAGTGGAGAGCAGGGGAGGTTCAATTTATAGTGATTTCCTATGGAATCAGATCATGATTCTGGACAGGATTTATATTTTAAATAACACCTAATCTTTAAATTCAATCTAGATGTGGATTTCATACCTTTTCCTTAATGAGAGCAGCACTGGAAGAAGGCGGCTCAGGAGTTCTGATGTGTCCTGGCAGGGAACTGCTGCAGGTCCCCTTGCTGACAGCCCAAGCTTGACTCTCATCCCACCACAGCCTGGGGTTACAATCCCAGACACTTCCACCACAAGCAGCTCTGGCTCAGAGCCCCCAGAGTGATAAAAGACTTCTTGTGTGATCATCTCAGGAGGGAAGTTTGGTGCCAAACAAAGCTGCAGTCTGGTTGGGTCCTTTTGTCATCAGAGACAAAATCAAAGGAAAAGTACAGAGCTGGGGAAAGAAATGGAAGCTGAAAAACATTCAAATGTCCTTTCTAAGAAAATGAATAAAGTCCAACCCAAGAATGGCTTGTCTGGTTTTGCTGGACAGGCTGCACTGATCTTGGTGCAACATGAAAGAGTCTGTTAGAGGATTCCTCTTTTTTGCTGACCCCTCAGCAGGCCGAGTACTCTCACTCCCTGTCTCCAGAAAGGCTCCAGTGATGCTGTAGTGTGCAGTGACCTTACAGAAAACTGTCAGTGATCCTTGTGCAGCTGGTGGTTTGCAGGGTGGTGGAGCCAGCCCTGCAGACTGGTGAGCTACCAATGCTCTCCTGGTGAAAAATGAGTGTTTTCCTCCATTCCAGGTCACATGAAGAGCAGCATCCCATCCCATTCTTCCTGACACCATCAGAAGTGTGAGTGCATGGAATGGGAGCACATCTGGCACAGATCTTCTCTGCAGAACTCCATAGCACACCAGTGTTTGCACTGACACTCTCCAGCAGGAAGAAAACATCCCTTTCCCCATGGAAATGCTCCACGTGGTGTTGGGGAAAACACAAAGGAACATTCAGTTTTCACTCTACCAGAGAGCAGAGTCCTCAGCAGTGGTGCTTGGTGAGCACGGAGCTGATGTGGGGTTAAAGTGTTCCACATTTTGGAAGGAAAACTCCTTCCAGAGGAAACAGGGTGCTGCCAGCTTGCTGCAAGGGACAGCTGAGGCTGCTGTGCACACCAGCAGAGTGAAGGGAGCAGGTGGAGTTGGTGGAGGCAAAAGTGATCTCCAAGGAGTGGAGGAGGGATTTTACTTTCCTTCTGATCCTTCTGTGCCAGAGCACCAGAACCATGTGACCCCACCTGCCTTTAGTGACCTTGGCTGAGGTGTCTTAAAAATCAACTGAGCTCACAGGGAAGGGCAATGGCTTGGGTAGAAATGGGGATTAGGAATAAGAGAAAAACAGCAAACGGCTACATGCAAAATAGGCAAAGTATATAATCCTACTGGATTTATAGGAGAGATATTGGCACATACCAGGAACGTTTCAAGCCAAATGTATGACAGCATTCCTTACACCCCTCCCACCCACTGCCATACCCCAGCTTAATGCAAAGCCCTTTGGCTTCCCCAGGCTTAGAGCTACGTTTTATTGTTCAAACAGGTCAACAATTGCAATCAGATGTTGACTGCAGGCAAGGCACAAACACGATGAAGTGTTAATGCACAGCACTGCTCGGATGGAGTTTCTGCAGTGCTGCTGCTGCGAATGGTCCCGTGCAGGGTGGCAGGGGGCTGGTATCTCCCAGGGCTGCCTCGGAGAACTGGGAAGCCCATCAGTGCTATGCCATGAATCCAGTGTGAGATCAGTAAATGAGCTCTGTTATTAAAGTATAAACTCAATTTCTGGAAATCATTGTGGGAGGAGAGCACTCTCACCAACTCTGCTTTGGTTTGTTATAAAAGCATAGAATCGTTTGGGTTGGAAAAGACCTTTAAGATCATCAAGTCCAAGCCAGCACTGCCAAGTCCACCACTCCACCATATTCCTGCATTTTTAAGGCTGCTTTAGAAAGATGCTGCTCCCACCTCTAAGTGCCCTTTTAACAAGAATTGAGCTGGAGTGGGATACAGATGATGGCATCTTTGTAAGGCAGGCCGGGAAAGGATCCTACAGGTGTATCTGTGTGCAGCTGTCTGCAAAAATAACCTTCACCATGCTGAGGGGGAGCCAAACAGTACAAAGATTCTGGCTAGTGCCTACAACAAAGACATCCAGAACACGTGGCACTGAAGTAATTCTGTTTATTTCACACCAGGGGAGAGTGCAGCTAGGTTATGCAGATACCTTCCCAATGGATGGGACCGTTTTGCTCCAATATAAATTTCCACGTGCTCAGCACCGTTCATTGTCAGGGGGTGCCTGTGGAGCTGCTGCTCCCTCCCAGCTCCAGCACAGCAAGAACAACCTTCCCCCAAAGCACTCTCAGAACATCCCTCTCCCCAAGCAGAAGCTCCCCCCTGCCCAAGCACACACAGAGATCCCAAACAGAGCCTGGCACGCTCTTCCCAGACAGGAATTTTCTACTGTTGTGTCACTGATCACAGACCTGGCAAGGCATTATTCAGGTGTTAACATCCCCATGCTTTGTTCTGCACCCTGACCAGGACAAGACCCATCATTTCTTGGTTTGTTGGCACACTGAGAACTCTGAGGTGCCAGAATTTTACAGCCAAATGACCTTTTATACTGACCACAGCAATTAAACAGTTGGCATGGATTTAACCAAATCCCAGTCTCAGTCCAGGATTACACAGATGCATAATGTACCATTTACAGCTTCACTCCTTTCTCTTAATTTTCATGCTGTTGTGTTTGCTTTGTCTTTTTGTTTCAAGTTCAGAAACCTTATTTAAGTTGTTATGGAAAAAAATAAATTTATTATTCAACATACTCAATTTGTTCAAAATGGAATAATCCTTTTTTTTTTTTTTTTTGGCTTTCATTTACAACTGGTTCCATTCAGTTTGACTGTTTTTTATCTTTTTCTATTTATAACCAGCACCAAGAAGAAAATTACCATGGATACAGTACGTATGCAAATTAGCTAATGGAAAAATATATACATTTCACTCTGTAATGAGAAAACTTAAATGATATTATTGCCATGGAGAATATATCCCTGTATTATAATAAAATATCAAGCAATAATCGACTGCTAAGATTCTTTTCCACCGACAAAAAATAGCACCATACATGAGATAGTGAGAATCTACACTCAATAACACAATTGTGCAACTAGAAATGTACAGTACTTTAGTAACAGTACAGAGTATTGTTTACAATATGGAAATACCACCACTGTAATCAAAAGAGCATCAATCTCTTATGAACAACTAAGAAAAGTATTGTCATAGATACACTGAAACAAACAGCTTTTCTTTTCACCAGAATGTGGGAACTGAGGGCAGAGCATAGCTGTGACTTCACTGTAAAACTCCTATAAAGTGATAAAAACCAGAAGTGATAAAAACCAGAAGTGAAGGAATATTCAAATAGAATTTTTTTTTTGTTATTATTATTTTTCTGCCTGTTATGTGATGGAATGGTTGTCACCATGTGAAGTAAGAGAATTGAATAAAGTGGAGCTGTGTAGTGCCATCAGTTCTTAATCAGTGTGGGGGGATTGATTATAAAAAGTAAAAGGTTGGTGCATGCTAATCTGTGAGAGCAAGTGAGGTGTTTTTTTCTCAGTGCTCATACAGTTGAAAAAAATCCTTGTAAATTCCTGTGTCCTTAGGTAGGACCCAGAACTTAGACTCAAGTGTTCTTTGGGTCCAAAACCCAGCAGATCGGGTGAGGCCACAGGTCTAACCAGCCTAGCACCTGTTCTGGACAGTGGCCAGTAGTGAACCATCATTGAAAAACACAAAACCGAAAATCCTTCCTCTCCTATGTCCTACCTTTTGCCTAGAGAGGGTCACAGATCAGCACCAGAAGGAAAACGTTCCCTGCAGTGGAAAAGCACCTTTGATTCCCAGCAATGATAATTCACACAATTCTGCCAAGGTAACACAGAAAATGTTGCCCATGAGAAGAAAACCAGCAAATTCCAAACTGAGTGAGGGGTTCCAGGGGACTCAGGGGTGGCTCTGGGGGCAGGGAGGCAGCAAGGACAGTCCCAGTGTCACTGCAGGCTAAGGGGGAAACACCACTGTGAATTATGAACATAAACCAGGTCCTCTGGGCTCTGTCAGATCTCTTGGAACTTTCTCATTAGCAGTTCTTCTATCTGCTAATTCGATTAATTGAGTATCACCTGGTATTGTCTAAATCTCCCCTGTCACTCCTGCCAGCAATTTTCCCTTGATTCCTTGCTAAGTACTTACACAGCCTCTGGGCTGGACAAAAGGGTGGGAATAACAGAAAAAGGAGGTCTAATCCTGATTATAAATTGTCAAAAAAAATCCAGTATAACAAAAACCAAGTTGGAATCATTTCCCTGATAGAGAAAATCATCTGAGGCATTGGAAAGCAGATCTGTTTGAGACAGGCATTTGAGGAAAAAAGGTGTGCAAATGTGCCCTTGTGCATCAGGCCAGCCCTGGTGCACACACACTAATTTGCACTAAACAAGCACAGATGTAAATGTGAAGCCCACACAGGGTTTAGTCTGTTGATGAACATTATCTCCCTGTGCTTGAAAAATTTAGCCCTTAATGAAATGCTGCTAGGTTATTCCAGTGAGGTCCTGGATGTGGATAGAACTGTACTAAAACTAAAATTTGCTTTAAAGACATGTTAGCTACTAAGATTCTTTATCTTTCCTTGCATTGATAAAAAGAGACAACAGCAACAAAGACAACCTGGGGCCAGATGTGAGCTGCAAGCCAGCTTGGCCCAGGGGCTGGGGGAGCAGCTGGGATTGGTTCTGTGCTCAGCTCCAAGGAGTCAAACAGTCCCACACAGTTCTAGAGCGAGTACAAAGCTGCAATTATCCAAAGGGCTCCGTTCCTGCCACGAGGAGGGGGCTGAAGGGAAATGATGCTTGTTGGAGCAAGATGTGATAGGAAGACACTGATGTGTGTGACAATGGAGGGGACAAGCCCTGCCCTGGGCAGAGCTCCTGTTTCAAGTCTCACATCATGGAGAGGAGTCTGGTTTAAAGTGCAGAGACATGGCAGACAGTATTGTGTGTGCAGCACCTGAAGGGTTCTGACAGCACCAAACCTGACAGCACCACAGAAGTGAGACAGGGAGCATCCAAAGACAGAGAGGAAATTCCCAAGCCCTGGAAGCAATGGAAGTCTGAGCCCTCTGGCTTCCCACAAGCTCCAGGTTACACTTTGAATGTCTTGAATCCCTGGCTACTTCTGGTTACTCCAAAAGCTACATAACCTCAGCTGTATAAAAGAGCCCAGAGATAGGAAACACCTGTTCTGCTCCCCACTACATCCTTTTCATAAAGATTGTTCCAAACTCAGTTTCTGTTCCAACCCTATTGAGTTTCACCATCCTCTTATAAGAACCAACAGTCTCATTATCTGATTGACTTCTAGAAATTGGAGAGAGCTTAGGCCAAGCAATCCCTCAGTGAGCTCTACTGGATGAAATGATTTCTGGCTTCTCCCATCTCATGTAAATGGTTCTTGTTTAAAAGTAACTATCTATGGCTGTTAATAAGCTTCCATTTCATTATGCTCAGAGAAAAATTAGGTTTCATAAAAGAAACTCAATTATTCTGGGGAAAAGATAGAGAGGATTGTTTTTTAGAATTAGAAGGAAAAGCACTCCCTATTAGTGGCTCTAAAAATATGACTTGGAATGTTGGATATAATTATACTGAGTTTTCTGTAGGAAATTCAGAGATGTCCATCCTCTGCTATCAGTTTTCACAAGCTTTTACAGAAAATCCTCTCTTTAAACTAAGCCCTTCATTTATGCATGTCCTCCAAGGCCATTCTGCAGTGGGATAACTGCTGGGAATTGAAAACAACAGAAAAAAGCCAAGATTAAAAGATTAAGTAATGTCTCTACCTTTGCTGAATTATTTTGCCAGAGGCTTTCCTCCATGGAGGTACCCATAACCTTATCCTATGTAATCACTTTGCAACTCTTGTCCTTTTCTTTAATGGTAGCAAGCCATCCAGTGGCTGGTGATTTAATATATTAAAAAAGCAATAATGAAAAATGTGAGGATGTCAAAATATTCAGAAATGATTGGCTCCTTGAGATGACCCTTTCTGTGTGTTTTTTTAAGGTGGATGAGCGGATGACTTTGGTATCCAGTCTTTAGGATTACTTTCAAGTCTCATTAGGTGTGCTTTGGGATCCACCACGCTGTAGCAACTCATGAAGTTCCAGTACTCAGACCTACTAGTCTGTGATTTACATACAAACAGCTGGAAGACTCTAAGGAGTGGCACAGTTCATTAACTCTTCTGCTGCATCTTGTTTGCATAAAAGTCTCTGCACGTCTGGCAGCAGCGCTGGTACCACCGCATGTCCTGGCACAGGTTCTTCTCGCGGATCACCCTGCAGTACACTGTCCACTGGTCCCCCGTGCACTTGTAGGTGAGGGCAGCTTGGAGGAGACAAGAAAGGAGAAACTGCCAGATTAGCCAGGGCACAGCACTGCAGGTGTGACCAAAAGCCCTGCACCTGAGGGGAGGGAGGGCCACACTCGCTGCCGGCACTGGAGAGCAGGTGATGTTCTCTCTACCAAAATATCGGGCTCTTGGAAGTGTTTCCTTCCTTCCCTGGGCATGAACAGTGAGTGCAAACATCCTCATGTTGCACCTATTTTGTCTCAGAGGCAAACAGGCCTGGATGAATGAAACATCCAAAGATTCAGCCCAGCTTTAAGGCCATGAACTCCACACTTCAGTCAATGGAATGGAGATGAATAAATCACACACCTGGCAAGAACACCTGAGACAGACTTTATGAATGAGATGGGAGAGTTCACATAATAGAAAATAAGCCACAAATAAGGCCAGGACTAATATTTCAGAGGTCCAATACCCCTCATAGGTTGTGAAGGAAGACAGGAAAGAAGTGACAGAATAAATCACTCTGAATATGTCATCAATGAGAGACACTGGACACAGACATAAAAGACAGGTGAGGTGAATTCCACACTCAGATATTTTTGGAAATGTTATTCAAGACAAAAAACCATTCTGAAGCAGGGACAAGGCAGCAAGGGGTCTGTAGACTATGGACTTTTTTTCTGTTTTCTTTTTTTTTTTCTGATGCTCCCATTGCAGAAAACAGAAAACTGTTTAAAGATAATCCAATTAGAATTGTTTGTAAGCAAGAAGAGCAAAACACTCAATGATATGTCTTTCTACTAACATCAAATATCATTGTTTCTGGCCCTGGTGATTCCAAGCCTGGTTTAGAAACAAAAGCATCCCAAATTGCTTGCAGATTACTTTCAGCAGGGACTTGAGCCTCCTCAGTCTTCTAAGCACATGAGCATTTTATTGCTTTGTCCTAAAATGTGAATTAGGATGGATTTCTTGTCTCATCAGTGCTTCAAGGGCTTACTTCTCAAATGAAATGTTTTCCTTTTGCTATGCTCTTAGTGCTAAAATATCTGGGAAGTACTCTCATACCAAAAGAGGTTAGAAGCCCCTCAGCATGAGTGCATTTGCAAGAATGAAAGTCCCCATTTTCTTTTAAAACATTTGGTAAACTTTCAGGGAACAAATTTCAGTTCAGAAGCTTCAAGTCCAGTCCTAGTTTAAGTGTTATTTAATACTGGACAGCACTATTAGAAAATGGTTCTCATTTATGAGCTCTGTGTTTTCATGTGTGGTAAAGGTTTCTTAGCCTGTAAGATCAGCTCAGCTGTGACAGAGGAGGTTGCTCTTTCTGGTAACCTCTTCTTGTTTACCTTACTCTTCTTGTTCAGACTCTTGTAAAGAAGGGGACAGGAGGCACCCATGAGGCTGTGTCAGTGTAGCTGATGCCTGTATTTATCTTCATCTTACTGCTGAGGATGTGTGAAATGTAAAGAAACCAACATGGTTCTTGGAGCTGTGGTGGAACACACAGGGCTGAAGTTTGGAAAAACATATTTTTAGTATATTTGTATTTTTATCTCTTTATAAACCAAGGAAACACAATGTGGAAAATCATAAGATCCCCACAAATTTGTATTAACAGAGGCATTCTTAACTAGTGGCACATCTTAAATACAGTGTTACAGTGTTTCAGGAAAAAGATGGTCATCACCATATTCCCATCTCAGCCAGGGACACAAGGAATGCAGGGAGGATGAGGAGGAGGACAGTGACAGAAAATCACAGGGTTTACAGGAAGTCCATCAAACCACCTGTCAGGGTCATGTATTTTCTTGGGGTACAATGAATAAATGATCCTGCTTCACACTCATTGCAGCACAGGCAGTGTTGTGGATGGGTTTGTGATGGAGAAAGATTCACCTGCCAGTTCCCTCACCTCTGTAATCGATCAATCAATCACTCAATCCTATCAATCACCCACCATTTGTGTGCTCCTGCTGCTCCCTTGGCTCCATCCTCTGCCAAGCACTCCACCTGGGCACAGCCTGAGGCAGGGGTCAGACAGGACCCACCCACACCAGACCTTTACTGGAGTCTGCCTGAGCCTCTCCCAGTTTCTGGCCCCAGACAATCACTGCAGCCCTCCTTGGGCAGCTGGCACCTTCCCCCCAGGCCCCTGACTCACCGAGCCTGGGTGAGGTGATGGTGTTGACGTTGATCTTGTCGTTGCAGACCTCCTGGTGGCACTGCCTGTAGGCTGGGGGCTTGGCCAGGGCCGGGCACTCGCTGCCGTGGCGCCCGGTCACTTTGTGCATGCACTGCACCACGCGCGACTGCAGCCCCTTGCCGCACGTCGAGGAGCACTGCAGGAGAGAACACACTGAGCACAGAGGTTTCCATGTCACATGCACAGCAAAACACACTGCCAGAGCAGAGGGTGCAGCCACTGTGGTGCTGAGGGCTCACAGCTGGGTCACTGAGGCTGCCAGGGACCCTCTGTGTGGCTGCTGTGCTGTCCGTGGTCATTCTGCACCTTCTTGGGGTGCTGAGAGCACAGGAACTCTCCTGGCACAGGGAAGGAACCTGTTACCTTTCTGCCCCAAGTTTATCTACTCCGACTGTCCCCTGTGCATGCCCATGGGATCCAAGCAGACAAAAATGCAGTTCTCCCTACCAGCCATGAAGAGACAAAGCTGAAAAATGTGAAATGCTTAATTATGGACCAGCAGCTTCCACCTCCCTCTCTGTGAGGGACCCGGTGGTACTTGGTTTAAAAGCCCTCTCCAAGACTTGGATTGTCTAACAAGGCTTCTTCCACAGCCAGAATGACCACAGCCAGGCAGTGACTTAAGATAAATCCCAGGATTACAGCACAGGCTGGCAGCTCCTGCGTGCCCAGACCTCTGAGAAGCTCTGTTCTGGAGAGAACACATCAGGTATTCCAGTACTCATTCCCATCTATCCCTGCTAACTGTCTGGCACTTGCCTGTCCTCCTGGGAGCAATTGCAAATTGTACTCATGAGTTTTGGCTGCTATTAGCCAGGAGGCCCAGCCTGTTCATATGCTCTCTTTGTTGTCATACAATCAGAGTCCCTCCCTCTCCCTCCCTCTTCCTCTGGCCCAGTCACTTGTGATTTACAATGTCCTACTTGCACGCTGTTCAATTTTAATAAAGCAAACACAGTGAGCACAGGGAGGTGCAGCAGCTGGAGTCAATAAAAGAACCTTGTATTTAACATAAAGAAACAATGGCTTGCAAGACTTGGGTAAGATTCCTGTTCCTGCTAAAGCCACACACAAGCAAACGATGGGGGAGAGGAGGAGGTGAGGGAAAGCCCAGGAGGTATCAACAGAATGATGTAAAAAAAATATCACGTTTTCTGTCCTCTGCTGTTTCTCACCAAAGTCAGGGCATTGGAGCTTTCTCCCTGAAAAACACTATCACCTCAGAGAGATAATTCTCAAAAGAGAGATGCCAAACATTGGAGAGGTTCAGAAGATGGGCATCACTGAGGCTGGACTGAAGTCCAGGTACAAATCCTGTGTGTGCAGTGTGGATGCTTGTGAGATCCAGATCCAAGGGCAGAACATGTGGATGCAAACAGGGCTCCACCTCTAAATCCAAGGGGGGTGAGTAAAGCAAAGCCATGGTCATTTTGGTCTGGAATTATCACAAGAAAGCCCTGCTGTTTGGGTTTTTTTTCCTTTACAATCTTCTTATTTCAATTCAAGTTCAACACACCAGCTTATGACAGATATTTTTACACTTTTTACATTTTTCAGGTGTTGAATTTACATAAAAAATTGATCACTGTCAAATAACACCTCAGCAATGGTTATAGTATTTAGGATTATGCTGAATCAACCCTTCTCCTGCCCTACCCTTCACAGTCTGAATTTATGCAGTGAGATCTGGACATCACATCAGTTTTGTGTGTCCCTCAGCTCTTTCCCAGTACTGAGTGCCCCCAGTGACTTCCACCAGCCTGGAAGTCCAAGGCCACTTTTCATTCCGATAAATGCAACTATTAGGCCCTTCCACTTCACCAGTCAAATGCAACCTTAAATCCTCAGGATTTCAGTGGCACTTTTAGTCTTCACAGTGCTTTTACTAATCTTAATCCTCCCCAAACTCTTTGCTTTGGGAACTCTCAACAGGAAGGACATGGGGAGAAAGAAGGGAAAAAAAGGACAAAATCAGCATTTTTCTCATAAGGTAAATTAGGTTTTCAGATACCAACATACAAACACTCACCTACCTTTGTCTGTGTTCCTGTCTCTGCATTTGTTAACCAGCAAGGAGGGCAAGCAATGAAACTTTTTTCCACAGGCACTGCCAACTCCAATCCTCAGACAAATAACAGCAGAGCTTTTGCCCGAAGCAGTTTTATTCCTTCTCCTGGGAGACTGGGATCATCACCTATGCTATGCAATTAGTTTTTCACAGCCAGCAAGACAGATTTTAACATCTTTCTTGAACTCTTTAGGGCTTGGCAGCTAAAGGAAGGTTGGACATCTGGCTTATTTTAAAACAAAATTTTCAACTCAGTACTTGGATAGTCTCTTTCTTAGGAATTTCAATAGGAAATAAGAATAGATACAAAATACATACAAAGGGGGAATTGTTACTCGTGCTGCACTATGAGAAGAGAACATCATTAAAAGAAGTATAAAAATCAAACTCCAACTGCACAGCAAATTCCCATAAATACCTTCTCTCCTTCTCTGGACAGCTAAATGCACTGCTACGGACTCACTGTTCCCAAATGTTTGTGGAGCAAGGCACCATGTCCACAGAATAATTTTCAGGGCTGGATTCACCACAGAAGACCCACCAGCAATCTGCCTCCTCTGGAAAGTTGGGGCTGGGGCAAGGGGCTGAGCAGAGATGCTGGTGCTGAAGAAAGAAGTGGATTTTCCCTTCCACCAGGCACTGCCAGTGGTGTCACTATCACAAAAAGGCACGTGCAAAATGCACACAGTTTAACCATAATACCCTAAACTGACAATACAAGCACTGTAAACTGGAAATCCACCCCCATGCAAAGATCAAAGAATTGCTCAGCACTGTAAAATAGAGGTGGTTAATGAACAGCTACAAAATGTGAAGCTAATGAGAACCCCTGTAACTCCCAGTTCAAACACTGCTTAGGAAGGTAAAAGCAAGACAAAAATGCCTCCATTCACATTCTTTGGCAGTAACATGCAAGCCAGTGGGGATATCCAGAAGGAAATAAACTCACAAATTGTCAAGGCAGCAGCTGCGTTCAACAGCTTAAAGAAGATTTACTCACTGAAAAACTCTAACCTTAGGAGCAAGCTATGATTTTTCAGCTGGAATGCTATTTACACCTTAGGATACTGATATGAAAGCTTGAAATCTAGCAAAGGTGCTGACAGATGTCTAATTGCTTTGAAAGCAAATGCCTTAGGAGAATATTAGGTATTAAAATAGAACAGATTTACAGAAAGTGCTGAGATCTGTCAGGGCCTTCATCAACTCCTGGTCTACAAAAGATAGCCAGAGAAAGAGTGGGGAACAAGAATGACTTAAGCCAGGGCAGGGCTGCTGTTGGGCAGCACAGCAGAGAATCCAAAAATTCCTCTGTTGAGGATTAATAGTGGCAGAAAAAGTACTGATTTACCAGCACAGAGACAGGTCCAAGACTGAATGGGGTAATGGATCATTGCTGAGGGCTCCTGGGAGGCTGGGATACATTTCAGATCCCAAGACATCTTCAGAAATGTTGCTTTTCTAACCTCCAACAGATTGATGTATTTTTTTTTGTAAGAGACTTTTCCCAGCAGAAGCAGGAGGTCACAGCATCCCTCCAGCCAATCCTGAGCGCACTCCGGTACGGAGAGGGCTGATCTATCAGAGGGAGATCCAGTTCTAGATGACTCTCATAACTAAGCTGCAGGCAAGATGGGTTTTCTCTTTATTCATCATCTGCAGTCATCTGAAGTTTAAAGATACTGGTTTGTCCCCAGTTTGCTGGAAGCTGCTGAAGCCAAGGATAACACCATAGCTTAAAGCTCCAATATTGAGAGATAGAGTCATGCTTTACTGACTTCAGAGTTCAAGTATTCAAGGCGTTAGGGTAGAGTGTTTTTCCCCTCAGGGATCTTATTTCTTGCCTCTATGAAAGTCAGAAAGAAAGCAAGACAAGTTCCTATTAAAAACATTCTAACACAGCATCTGAGATGAATGACAAAGGTCCTGTAATTGCTCCCTTCCCGGGACCTTAATAGCACACACATGTGTGCTCTGAAAGCCAGTGCTCCACACACCTTCACATCAGGCTTTTTATGAGGATCACTATTTTAAACCTCATAGTTCTAGCTAAAAAGCAGCGTGCAATACACTTTCATAAACACCAGGTCAACTTTCACCATGGCATCATGCTAAAGAAAGAAATATCTGTCTTTTCACTGATAAGATCTAATTAGCCCAAAGCAAACTGTAAGCTGTTTTTCAAGCTTCCTTGTTATTTTCTTTTCTTTCTTTCTTTTTTTTTTTCTTCTTCTTTTTGAACCCCAGATCTATAAAAGAACATATCTGGTCTTGCTTACAACAATCTTTCATTTGGAAACTTTTGTGAAATGACTGATTTGTTTAATTTAGCCAAGAAGAAAAAAATGCATACCCTTCTGACTCAGTATGGGAAGAAACAATAAATTATGGCAGCAAATGCTCGTGGCTGATGTGACAGTATCTTAGCAGGAAAAGAGAAGCAATTTTTGCAAACTGCCTACAGCTGTACTTTCAAACTGCACGACCCCAAGGAACAAGACCTGACCAGCACATCCAGCATTTCTCAGGGCATAATTAAGCTTGGCTTTGCTATTCTGAAAAGTTCCATTGTGTACAGAGAGTTCACAGATTAAAGGCTGAACACATGAATATTCTGGGTAGTGACAGTGCCCCTAAAGTATTTGTACAGTGGAGCCCAGGTGGATGCTGATGAGAAAATGCCATTTAATCCAATATTCCAATCAGGCAGAATTTACTTCTCGTGAGGTTTCAAACTGTTTCAACAAGAGGCTCAAGCAGAGCTGTGAGGTAATACAGTGCTGCCCACAGGGGACCATATTCTAGCAGGTCACCTACTGCACTTGGGCTGTGTTAGGACCTGTGGCAGGAAGTGGAAATACTCCAGAGCTTATTCCACCAGGACATCTGCAAGGACCTGATGGTGAAAAACAGCAAATGCAAAAGGCATAATCAAGGTAATTTTAAATAGACTCAGTAGTAATGGACAGCTATGGGATCACAGAACTCAGGTCAGGCTGGATGCTGGAGAATCTGCCCTGCTCCTACAGCACTGTGAGCTGCTCGTGCTGAGCCAGGCTCTCAGAGCT